ATTGTAGATATATATATATATATATATATATACATATACATACATATATACATATATATACATATATATACACATACATATATATATATACATATATATATATACATAAAGATGTTTTCTATGGCTGTCAAACAAAGATTCTATCGGATTAATCACAAACTAATCATGATGAAGGACGATCATGGCTATACATCAAAGTACCTAAATATGACATATTTTTGTGTACACTGCTGAAACAGCGTGCATGTGTTCTGTCAAGGGCTGTCAGTCAGTTGCATTTTTAAATCTGAATAATCACACGGCAGCTGTGGATTAATCACAATTAATCACACATAATCATGATCCTGATTTATTATGCCGTAGCCAGATAAGTCAACGTCCCTTGGAGGAACAACACCTTTCCTTTGACAATTCTGCCAATCAGTGTGTAATCCATCAGTCTATGACAGGATGGTGAGGTGGAACAAAACAAAAAAAAATTACCTTCAACTCATGTCTTCACCATTCTGAAAACAGTTTGAGTATGAGGATGTTTCAGGGTGAGGAGAGCAGTACATACTCCCTGGTACGGCTGTGTCTATAAAGCCATTATTAAGAACTTGATAGATACGTTAGGAGCCACAGAGGACAAAGACTGTTTTTATCTGCAGGTTTATCCAGATGTAAAAACTATTTGTCGGCTCATTGGTTGAGAGGTGGGTCACCTTAACTGACCTTACAGAAAACAGCACCATAGTCAAAATTAATTGACTTGTTTACTACCACATAATTCGGGGGGGGGGGGGGCGGTTTCATGGCTATACATCAAAGTACCTAAATATGACATATTTTTGTGTACACTGCTGGAACAGCGTGCATGTGTTCTGTCAAGGGCTGTCAGTCAGTTACATTTTTAAATCTGAATAATCACACGGCAGCTGTGGATTAATCACACATAATCATGATCCTAATTTATTATGCCGTAGCCAGATAAGTCAACGTCCCTTGGAGGAACAACACCTTTCCTTTGACAATTCTGCCAATCAGTGTGTAATCCATCAGTCTATGACAGGATGGTGAGGTGGAACAAAACAAAAAAAAATTACCTTCAACTCATGTCTTCACCATTCTGAAAACAGTTTGAGTATGAGGATGTTTTAGGGTGAGGAGAGCAGTACATACTCCCTGGTACGGCTGTGTCTATAAAGCCATTATTAAGAACTTGATAGATACGTTAGGAGCCACAGAGGACAAAGACTGTTTTTATCTGCAGGTTTATCCAGATGTAAAAACTATTTGTCGGCTCATTGGTTGAGAGGTGGGTCACCTTAACTGACCTTACAGAAAACAGCACCATAGTCAAAATTAATTGACTTGTTTACTACCACATAATTGGGGGGGGGGGGTTATGGAACAGATTAAACTCTTATCTTGAAGCCCCAGTGTATTAGTTTTAAATGTGTGTTCAATTACTGCAGGCGTCAGTCGACTTCAGTGCAGTTGAGAAATGTACTACACTAATGATGTGAAATCATGTCATGGGTCGTGGGCAGAGCCTCAGCCAATGGCAGGTGACACTGGTCAAGGGCGTCGTACACGCACACACAGTTCACCACTTCAGTACACAGTACCAGTGGGACAGACAGTATCAGCGAAGGTGACGGAAGATAATTTGCATTTTTTCAAGTGAACCCTTAAACAAATTGTCTTTATGAGTGTAACGACACACTGGTAGACAATTAGTGGCCCTGTGACCTAATGCCCTCTGTGCACATAAGTACCGTAACCCTAGAACCACAAGACAACAATTTTAAAATTAACTCATATCAACATGAGGCCATTTTTGAAGAAGTTGTCAAATAATCCAATACTGTCCGAATCGTTGGGTTTTAATTAAATATAATAACACATCGCAAATGACCTAAGAGCAAATAATGTACAAACAAATAATAAATAACTCAGGGGCGTCAAACTCAAATTTGGTTCAGGGGCCACATACGGCCCGATCAGATGTCAAGTGGGCCGGACCAGTACAATCATAACATTATTTCATCCAAATAAGTACAAGTATATTAGAAAATATTCATCCTTAATAAAATATAGCAAATATCATTTGCCAAAACATCCCAACCCCATGAAGGTTTTGCACATTTTTTTCACTTATAAATTCATCAAGTGGGCTGGTTTTGACTCGCGGGCCATATGTTTGCCTGGTTTAAGTGCACAATGTGGATAGATAAGAGTTACAAAGTACTTCAAGTGTTGTTGTTTTTTCCTGTCAGAGCAGATTTGATCAGAATGGACTTTTAGACAAGTCATCATTTACAGCTCATTGTTTCTGTTTTAATCATGTGTCGTTTCATCACTGCAGTCTGTGGAGACTCAACAGAACCAACGGTTCCACGGCCGCAGTCCCTCATCAGACTTTATTGTTCTGCCTTCATTCAAACAAGGAATGCATGAAATTACACATTCAAACCAGCCCGCATTCATTAGAACGTCTTTGGGGGGAGATGGAGTTATTTATTGTTTACCTTCTTCAGCCGGTTGTGCATGATATTGCGGAAAGTCTGAGCCACAAAAAAGCCGATGCCGACGAGCAGGAGGAAGCAGCGGGTGCCCACGTCCCCCCCGGCACCGTCGCATACGCGGCGCGGTGCTGCCACACAGAGGCGGGGTGGAGGGGATGGGAGATGAAGGATGCTTTGTAGTTCTTCTGAAAGTAGTCCAACAAACTGCTCCTTTGTTGACGCTCCGAGCTTTAAATCAGACCCCAGCTGGATTCCACTTTACGTCGGATAAACGCCGAGAAAAGTTTCGTCCAACGGCAACAACGTGCGCCTGCAGCAGATGTGAGGTCTTCGCTTGGTCCTCTGCCGTCTCCGGGGATCTGTGTTTACTTTTAGTTAATAATAAAACGGCCCACTTAGAGAACCACGAGGTTTCTGGAGACGAAAGTGAGTGGCGACCCGGAGACTGACGTGACAGTGGAAGTTAGTCACCAAGTTTATGGTGGAGGAAGTTCAGTTCAGGTCAGTATCAGAAAGTTGCACCATCAACTTCAACAACAACAACCACACGTTTCTGTTTCTGCACCCGTGGCGGTGAACATTGTAGAAACTGTGGTGGAGTATTTGTAGCGGTCTGTGTAGACTGCCTCCCTCCAAAAAAGGAGAACGCTCATTGGTGCAAAAAAGTCTGCTCACAGGCGCAGTGGGAAGGGCTGTGGACGCGGGTGTTTGTACGGTGGAACTCAGAAGAAATACGGGGGTGGGTAAACACATTAGATACGAAATATTTATAAAAGTGAAAGTCTTAAATGTCGTGCACCTGTTTTACTGCAACGTTTTTACCACTTATATTTAAATCGTCTGTCTGTCTCTGGGTTGTCTGTTGTTGCAGTGTCTCGGACAGAAGGGCCATTGATCTCAACAGGACTCTCAAGGCTGAACAATGGTTACTAGTGAACTAGACCCTGAGGTGTTGGCAGTTCTAGATCTTTCTGCGAACTCTTCATTTTCACTACGCCAAGACTGCAGTTCAAATCAATTAACCAAAAACGTATACATATTTGTTTTCATGTTTGGTCCATACATTGAAAAAAGTGAATACTCTTGCCTTCGCGTGGTCTCCCGACTGTGATCAGGATTTTTCCATCTTTTCTTCCACAGTCCCAACACATACAGGACGAGGATAGTGTTTTGAATTGGTTTTTATTTTGAACAAGTAACTTTTTTTTTTTCAGCAACAGCTAAGACATTTTTATGTGCGGCATTCTTTATGAACACAACTTCACGTTGTCATGGAAGTGAAAGAATACAGTGATTTATCAAGATTTACTGGACATTTCAGGTGAACCCGTGGCGCTTTGGCCCAGAGGCAATGTCTCTGTCATTGGTGTTGAACCCCAGGGTTCACCTCCTGGGCAAGTTCGAATCCCAGTTAGGGTGGTTGGTACCTTCCAGTGGACTCACCACCCGCAGGAAGGTTTGGGGGGGTTGGTACGGTACAATGTGATTTGGGTGGAGACTGTTGCCCCCACGACCCGGTAACAGATAAGCGGATGAAAATGGATGGATGGATGGATGGATTTCAGGTGAACCCATTTAAATTCCAGGAGGCCCCATGCAGGGTTGTGACCCAAAGCTTGAAGAACGCTGCTCTGAACTGTCCAAATCTTTATGTGCTGTTCTGTAATGGACTGGAGAACTGTCCAGGGTTAAGTCCCGCCCTCGACCAACCACTGCTGGGATTGGCTCTGGTTCCCTTCATGACACTGGAGGGAAATAAGAGTAACCAGGTGAATTAATGTTCATATTTGCGTTCCCTTTTTTAATTCAACACTTACTTTTTCTACTTACTGTTTTAATGAGTCTATGGAACGGTTTTGTTTTAACCCATTGTGAACATGTATACTCTCTCTCTAATGCTTCTCAGATTCTGTCTCTGAATGTTTACAAAGCTCAACTAAGAGCTGCGTACTTTTACAGAATCTTCTAATCAAATTGCAGATTTTTTTTTTTTCCAGTTCAGTTTGGATCTTTGGAACTGCGAAGAAGAAACAAATCCTAGAATTCTAAACTAAGGCTACAACGATGAAAAAAGTGGACCTGTCCATATAAAAGGGCGTTAGCCTACTTTAAGTATTCAGTACGTGTGAATATTACATACAACATATAGAGAGACAGACCACAGGCAGACAGGGCCTGAGGCTGAGCTTTGGGATGGGACTGTGGAGGAGGCTGTTAGTCTGCAGCTCGTCACAGACCGACCTGTGTGCACTAACTGCCATTTAATCAAATTATCACAAACAACTGCGAAGGCGAGAATGACTAATGGAGAGTCATAAACAATTTTAGCCGAACAGATGGGCTGAGCTGCTTTTGATGGAATGTTACTTTGAGGACAAACAGTTTCACCACTGTTTTAACTCAGGCTTTGTTTGAGAAGATCATCGGGTTTATCTCCGAATGTCATCATACGGCTGTAGTATGGACCAGCGTTAACACGAAGGTTTGCAGTCACTGCATTCAAACATCTCCCCAGGTAAAGAGTCTGGGTGTCACCCTTGACAACACACTTTCCTTCCAAGCCCACATAAACAACATTACCCGGTCTGCCCACTTTCACCTCAGGAACATCAATCGCCTCCGCCCCTCCCTCACACCCCACACCACTGCCATTCTTGTCCACAGCCTTGTCACCTCCCGTCTGGACTATTGCAACTCACTCCTCTTTGGTCTCCCCCACAAATCCCTCCATAAACTTCAACTGGTCCAAAATTCAGCTGCCCGCATCATAACTCGAACCCCCTCTATCCATCATATCACCCCTGTCCTCCAACAGCTACACTGGCTCCCCATTCACTTCCGCATCCAATACAAAGTCCTCCTGTTGACATTCAAAGCCATACATAACCTTGCCCCCCCTTACCTGTCTGACCTCCTTGTTTTTCCCACTCACTCCCGCTCCCTCAGATCCTCCTCCACCATCCTCCTGTCTGTCCCCCCCGCCCGCCTCACCACCATGGGGAGCAGAGCTTTCAGTCGCTCTGCTCCCCGCCTCTGGAACTCCCTTCCACCTTCACTCAGGAACATTGACTCACTCTCCCACTTTAAATCACAACTAAAAACACATCTATTCAAAACTGCATATTCCCTCTGATTGAAGTAACGCACCCGCCCCATCACCCCCCGACTTGTACTGTTTTAACTGTTTCAACAAACCACCTATAGCACCCCCGACTTTTAATTAATTGACTTATTTATTGTATTTTAAATTGTTTTTAACTGTTTTACATTGTCTCATAATGTTTTAATGTTTTTTACTGTCTTTTCTTGTATTGTGTACGGTGACCTTGAGTGTCCAGAAAGGCGCCTATAAATAAAATTTATTATTATTATCTTTAACCTCAGATATGTTGTATTAGTGTAGTTTTTCTGACCGTCTCACCTTTATCTCCCCCACTCTGGTCCACAGGATGTGGCTAGTCTGGTTTTTGTTGTTGTGTCATTTTGGCCAAACTTTGTCCCACAAATGTGAGTTAAAAAAAAAAAAAAAAGATTTCTGCATCGACATGTGCTTTTGAGCAAGAGTATGACTAGAGTTTGACTCAAGTATTCAATATTGGGACATAAAAAACACCTACTCCCAGCGAAAAACACTCCCTTTACTTCATACTATTACAGTTCCACATCTGGTTTTAATGCAGAGGACAGTTGTAGTTGTGTGTACTGTGTTCCTTTTTTTCTAACACAGGTGTTCTCAACTCTTCTCTGTCATGCCCCGTCTCAGGGACATGCACTTTCTTTCACTCCCACACCAAAATGAAATATTATGAAGAACCTGATAATATGTATTTATATGTATTTATCTGTCCAACATTTATCTGTGCCTCTCATGCCTCTCACGCCCAACCCCTCCTGTTCCCTCTAGCACCGCACCCCGCGAGAGATCAAAACCAACGCCTTTCGGCTGGAAGACGTTCAACTTCACCTAGCGTCCTGCGGCTGCAAAGACCCGAAGAAAATCCTGAAAAAACTCTTTACACCCTTCGTCAAGGACACTTGTTTTATGAAGTGTCCTGATATTTACAAAACACATATATTGCATGTTCAATCATCTCACGTGGGCGTTGTCCCCACAGTGACAGTTATGGGAAACCACCAATACTTTCAACAAAAAAAAGGTCATTGAGGTGAAACAACCATTTCCCGAGATTATCAGCTCAGGGATCAGCCCTCGGTCGACAGTATAAGAATAAGGGTTTGGAGCAGGTTCACCTTTTCTCCTCCTGTAGTTGGTGTTTGCTGTAATCACTTCGAACCTTTAGACAGGAACGGCCTTTACTCAACTGGACTGAATGGTCGGAAGGTCACAAAATCTGCAGTCTTCGCTTTCTGTAAAAGTAAGTCTGGAGTAGAGAACAAGGATTTCCTTTTTGAACGTGTGTTATTTCTTAACATTTGATCCAGCCAGGGTTAAAGAATTGAATGACTTGGACCCAGGACAGGATTTTCCATCTAACGCTGCACTTTTCTCACTGGTTTCCTCTGATAATTGTGTAACATTGATGCATCTTTGTTTTGTTTTCAATTCGATGTCAACCAAATGTACAAATATTTATGCATACATACATATCATGTGTCCCATAAACAAAGTCATTGAGTTCAAGAATTATGTGGTGCTGACCTGCTAGCTAAAACTAAAAGGCAGTAGTGCCTTAGTGGTTAAGGAAGCGGACTTGGGTCCAGGAAGGTTTCAGGTTTAAGTCCAGGTGTTCGGAGCATGGCACCGCCCCCACACACTGCTCCCCTGGTCCTTAAAGCTGCCCCCTGTTCACTATGGTGATGGGTTAAAAGCAGAGGTCACATTTGGTTGTGTGCAGTGGTGAGCTGTGTCACAATGACAAATAGTTCACTTTTACTTCACTTTGACAGGAGATCGGCAGATGTCTTCTGTCCAATAAGAGTTGAGAAAAGTCTTGAGAAAGTCTTGAGTCTTGAGAAAAGTCTGTATCTGTGAAAACCAAGATAAGCTCTGACCAAAACAGTGCAGGCATTGGCTTTGACTGAAGCTCCGTGATACCAGCCATTTCAAACAGACAGAGCCAGGAAAAGATGTGAATTTCTTGGTTCAAAAATCT